TATTTCTGTTTTTTCTTTTTACATGTTTTGTTAAAAGGCCAAATAAGGACTTCAAACCAAAAAAAAGTAATTTTCTGTTTTGTTTTATTCTTGGATCGGGCTTTAAAGGGTTGACCAGATGGTTTTTCAACTTGATTACCACGTGGTTGGTCTGTTTAACCATATTATTACAGTTGTGTGGCTATTTGATAAACTACTAGCATAGCATACATGCCAACATAAAAAGTGCAGACTATTACAAAGTAAATATAGCTCTATGTCTTATAATTATGGGATCTTGATGTTTTATTTCTAGAAAAGACTCCCTTGCTACTTTGGCATAGATAAGGAATGAAATAACTACAAACATTCCAAAGGAAATAACAATGACCCAGATTTCCACCAGCATTTAAACGCACCACGTACGCACAAATCTGTAAGCCGCCTGGAAGCAGAATCCTTTGTGTATCTGTGTATTTGTCCGTGTATATCAGGAAGCATTGGGAAGGGGTAATTCTATGTACTTCATTTTGTACTTGCATACTTTACATATGCATGAATACCTTGAGTCTGTCTTCTCTCCAGTTTGGTCCAAGCTTGATATATTAAGACATATGGACCGACATATGACTCTAGAATACTTTGGCTTATAAAGAAGAACCTTGACTACTTATTGACTTGGAGGTTGTTGTGTCCAGTGACTAGACCTTCATCACCATGATTGGCTGGTGGTGAAAACTAGATTTAACCAGTCATACGTTTTATACTTGTGTCATTGAACATCCTGCATCCCCCAAAATATCTATTAATACCAAGAACCAATACTTGTACAAACAGGTAATCAGATTGATCGGTGAGATGAAGGATGGGCAACAAGACAGGTGGACAGAACCGGTGTTTTACCTTAATCTCATAAAGAGCATGAAGGCGAGCAGCAGAGCTCCCAGAGAGATGCAGTGACCCAGGTAGTTGATGATCACTGCCACATGATAATGAACTTTACTTTTCCTCTGAAAACACATCAAAACCATTAAATCTTTAGAGAGATCAGATTCCTGTGAAAATAAAACAGCTTAAGTTCCTTTAATGTCAACATGATGAGGATACAAACATCTGAACTTTGCTGGAATCTTTTAGTTTAGTTGAGATCTAATGTCAAACCGGATCAATTTGTGTCAAACTTTAATCTTTGGAATCTATTGGTCAAACTGGAGCTTCAGAACGTAGCAGATATCTGAAAGGGAAGTTGATAGCTGTTGGTTTCCTAATAATATAAGATGATGTGACAAAGGTCACATGACACAGAAGATGGCTGACTTCAGTCCAGAAACAGGGACTCAGCTGGTTGAATTTCTAATTTAATTATGTTTTTTTTTAAAGGCTGATACTTGTTTATTCACTGGTTTGATTGACAGGTTATAAATAAACAGTTTTCTTAATTTAACTTTGGTCTCTAATTGAATTGAACTGATTTATCATTACGATCTGTCCCTAATAGGCTGTCAGAGCTCGTTAACGGTGATTGGATAATAAACTGACTTACAGAATGCAACTGAAACTGATTTCTTCATTAAATTATGCAGTAATAGACCAAAGCCATAACTGTGAAGCCAAGGACCATTGAAGATGCAGTGTTTACTTCTTCCAGCTACGTTTTCTAATCTCAATGATCCGGTTTTCTTTGGAGGCTTGTATATACATACATATATATATATATATATATATATATATATATACAAATATTGCCTTATAACTTTGTGGTAGTGCATTCACTAAAAAGTTGACCTGTCCACAATTTCCTTCGACTGAGTGAACTCACATATGGAAAACTCGAAAGATGCCGTCCACTCTGGCAGGTGTGGGCCGCCTGAATGGCAGTATACGTGCAGAATGCAAAACCTGACCTACAAAGTGTCCCTTGCACTCAGTTCCGTCAAGAAATGATAAGCTGGCCATTGTGAGACCATTTTGGTCATTTGAAGTCCTCAGATTCGAGCAAAATCTTTCTGGACGTTTGAAAATATCAACTTGAAACCAGGTCAATTTGGTCACAAGTCAAGGGGATCTAAAGTAGCAGACAGTTTGTATTCTAGGAAAACTCATCTTGTGCCTATCTGGGACCGGGCTGGTGGAAAAGAAGTCTCAGCAGAGACACCAAACTTCCCTCTTAACCCCACCTCCAGCTCCTCCGGGATGAAGACCGAGGTGTTCCTGGGCCAGCTACGAGATGTAGACCCTCCAGCAGATACTGGGTTGTCCCTGGGCCTCCTCCCGGTGAGACCTACCTTAAACACCTCCTGAGGAAGGCCTCTAAAATGTCTGCAGTACCTTAGCTGACTCCTCTCCATGCGGAGGAGAGGAGGTTCTACTCAGAGAATCTCATGAAAGGCCAAGCTCCTCACACTATCTCAGCCACACTCGAAGACAGCTAGTTTCAACCATTTGTTTTTGTTATGTTCTTTTGGTAAAGACCCGGATTTCATGACCAGAGTCAAGGCCAGGAACGTGGACCAAACAGCAAACCAAGAGCTTTGTCTTTTGGCTTCATCACCAGTCCGGTGCGTAATCCAGATTAGGACAGGAGCCACCGATTCATCTGTTCCTCTCCCCCTTCTTTCTCCTCTAACTTCAGGACCCCAAGATACTTTACCCTTTTGCCTTTTTCTGGTTGTGAACCATGCCTCAGATTTGGAAGGGCTGATCTTTATCCCTGTTCTGGGGGTACGGAAAGTTTTTGCCACAGTTTATTCACAGCACTATTTGAAATATTTTAAAGTTCTAGATGCCATGACACATATTCATACATCTAAACATACCCTGTGTCATCATAGTGCATTCCTCTACATTTTTGAGCAGTTATTTTCATCCCTTTATCTTTACCCAACAACAAGAGGTCACTTGTTATTGAAGGTAAATGTCTGTATTCATTGGGATTACAGTCCTCACATTTTCATTTTATGAAGGAGGAAGCTAGAGCAACTCCCAGAAACAAGGTCTGATTTTGACCCAACTCCTTGCTGAATCATAACAGACCTTAACTGAAGGTGACTAAATGTCACCTTCAAGGTTACAAGCAGTGACGTTTCACACTTGTGATTTGTGGGACAATCTGGTTTTAAGAGTGTTCGAAGTCCGTGAACCCCACACTGGTGAAAGCAACACCAAGGCTTGAGGACCGTCTAATGCTGCTTGCAGCTAAAGTTGGTTATAGTTTCATCAAAACATTTAAGTTTAGGCTGAATCACAGTAAATGATCTTATCCCAGAGAAAAAGACAGACAGCAGTTCTTCAGCTTAGGTAGGAATTGTTTCAACTGAAAAATGAGCATTAGATATGGGTCCAGAGACTTTAGCAACAGATCAGTGTTAGGTCTGATAACCATCAGCAGAGACAAGTAGGTCTATATAAAATCTTTCCATTTTGTTGACCACAGAGCTGTGGATGGCTGACAGCCAGTTCTGCCATCCAATCAGAAGACAGCAGGAAGAAGGAAACAGATTGGATCAGTGGGGCAGAGAGACGACACATGGACACACCCATGGTGGCCTTCATGTCTCTGAGAGCACCAGTGAACTGTCCACACCTGGAGTCGCCCATATTGAGGAGTCCGCCTGGGCCAACATCTGATCCCTGCAGGACACATCAAAGCTTTCTCAAAATGAAAAAGACCTAAAGCTTTACACACAAACTGTACAACACACACAGTGACGCCACAGTGAGAAGGTCCAGATGGTCCCCCCTGTTTCACGCTGATGTTTGGATCTCAGCCTTGTTCTCACTCTGAGCTCTGATTGGTTCAGATCGTTTTTTTTCCCTCTGTGGGTTTTTTGTGTCCGTGTGTGATTAAAGGATTGGATGTGTGTTTGTTCAGATCTGTTTGACAGAAATGTTCTCAACAGAATAAAGACGTTTTGAAGTGTTTAGTAGCTTAAAACCTGGTTTGCATGGAAACATTTTAAACTGAGTTTTAAAACCTAAGACGCCCAACATGATCTAAAATTTACAGATATAACAGGTTTGGTCCTAGAATGTTTGATATGTCAGACGTGAAAATTTACAAAACTTCTCAAAATCAAACGTGATTTTAAAGTAAATAACCCTGACCAAGGAGGAAAAAGAAATAGAGATGGTTTGTCGACTTATTTTGAAATAGGAAAAAAATGTACAATAAGGAAAGGTCTTGGTGAAAGTCTTAGAGAGAACAAGGGGGTCTACTTGCTCACTGGTGAGTTGTTGTGTTATTTTCCTCCAGAAATGCTTTCTGATTGGCTACACATCATGTTAAAACAGGATCTGTCCCCATCTGCACTCTGGGAACACCGCAAATACTAGCAAAACAGGCCAAGACAATCCAACATGTTGGATTTCCTCGGTTTGCAGTACAGACTCCACACCATACATGGTAGGAACATTTTGTTAAGTTATCTTTCAATCTATTACAATAATCTGGGCCTCTTGGAGGGGGAAGATTGGAACAAAAAAACAGCAGAATCATATGAACCAGGCTTAACCTGTTTCTGTCCATGAAAGCCCACTAACCCAGGTACTGAACAAGGCGAATTTAAACCAGTATTGTCATATGAGTATACCCGGTCAGACTAACATACCCATAGTCAATACCCGTTTATCCCTTTAGTTTATCCTTTAGTTATGTTCGAAAAAACTATCTAATTACTTAATTTTTGTTTGTTTTTTAAGCGTATGACGATCTCACCTTAATTTTTTATTTTTTTTTTTGTACATAACTAAAGGGATACACACCCAATGAGGTAGTTTAAAGTCTATTTTTCTTACAAAACTAAAGGGATAAAAGCAAATCTGACTTTTTGCACATGCGCATTGACTATAGCAGGGGTCACCAACTTTTTTAAGGCTGAGGGCTACTTTATGGGTACTGAGTCATAGGACGGGCTACCAATACTGACCTATGAACTAGAGGAGTCGGCGTTCACCTGAACTTCATAGATAATAAACATATTTCTATTGTTTCTTTTCATTTATTATTTGCTTTTAGATATTCTCATTATGAAATCCATATAAATCCTCAAATGTTCTAATTTATTGATATGATAAAATGCTTCATAAATGCTTCAAAATAAGAGCTTCGGTAAAAAAATAACATTTCAGATTTAGTCCACTGGTGAATTGTTCTGTTTTCAAAAGATGCTGAGGGCACCCCATGTTGTCCTTGAGGGCCCCTTGGTGCCCATGGGCCCCACGTTGGTGACCCCTGGACTATAGGTATGCTAGTCTGACAGGGTATCCTGATCTGACAGAACTCCGGCTTCAGAATTCTGAGGTCCAAACAAAAGTCCAGAGTACCACCTGGTTGTGGTCTTGATCCATCCCCTCTGATCAACAGGCTGAAGTCCAAACTGTGATCACACACATTCCATGTTTCAGCTCTGTTCAGAAATAGAGGATTCATCTGCTAGTCCTTTATTTTCTTCTATTTATGGTTTAAAGTAAAAAATGGTGTGTTGTCATGGCAACTGAAGACAATAACATTCCTCAGCATCATTGATGACCTATGGTAATTTGCTGCCTGTTAGTCCATGAAAAAACACCAACATCCATCTACGGTATAGGAAGAAAAACGAATAGTCCGGCCCCAATTTGATCAATCTAAAAAAGTGTAGCTTATGTATGAGTAAACAAAGGAAAGATTGTGTGAATCTCTAAAGCAGCAATGATGATGATGTGGACTTCTTCACCTCCTGCATGTAAGAAAACTGGTTCTGAGTTCTCCCTTAAGTCCAACGACATCATAGGTTTTCATTTTGGGTTTTACTTTGATTAATTTTATCCAATGGTACTGTTAGAATTTTTATCATTTTTTAAATGACTTATTCTTTACTTTTCCTTGGTGTTTATTATAGTAATTCTCTTTTCAGCATTCCTGTTATATAGCTAATGTTTGTCTGTTATATTTAGTTAATGTTTTCTAAATGCAGATCATTTATCTATATTTCTCCAGTCCCTTCCTCATGCTCTAGATTTCTGTTTCTCAGTCATTAGCTGCTTAAGCCTTTTTTTGTCATATTAGTTCTTTCCAGCAGTATTGTATTCCCATGTTACTCTTTGTTGCCCCTCCTTTCCTATATATATATATATATATATATATATATATATATATATATATATATATATATATATATATATATATATATATATATATATATATGAGCCTGCCCTTTGTGGATATTTGGTTAAGTTTCTTTTTGAGTGTTTATTTACATTTCTATTTATTTCATTCTGTGTTTTCTTGGTAATTGCTTCTTTTCCATTTTCTGTTATTGTTGTTGTTCTCTACTTATATAATATTTAATCAGTGTTGTGTTTTTTGTGTTGCTCTCTCTTGCCCTCTTGTGTCAGCCTCCTTTCCCCTAGCTTCTAGTTGCTTCGATCCACACCTGCTCCCTATCAGCTGATTACACCAGTCTTTGTTTGGTCTCCCATGTTTAATCTTCCTGTGCAGTTCCTCAGTGCTGGTTTCTCTTCATTGCTTTGATCGTCATGTGTATTTTTCCCTGGCTTAGTTAGTGCTGGCCAAATGAAGC